TTAGGCGAGTTTTTGACCTAAATATGTTTGCTGGAAAAAGACTAAACAAAAATAAATCTTCAAAAAATTATGTAGACAAAACTATATCCTCAGGAGTTCCAAAATCCGAATCCGGGGTACAAACGAATTTCGATAATCCGAAATCATTAGAAACGGATTTTAAAAATCTGATTAAAACTAAAACTAAGAAAATTTCTAATTTGACATAATTAATCAAACACCGGATTTCTGAAATCCGACTTTATGATTAAAATATTAATTTTTAGAAAAAAAAAAGAAAATTTGTACAAGTGTTGGTAATTTTTTTGACACGAATCGGATTTCCGAAATCCAAATCTTCCCTATTTTCCTGATAAATGTGAAGTGCCAGATGCTTTCCACAATCGGATTTTGCAAATCCGTGTTCTTTACAAATTGAAGATATTTGGATTTCTGGAATCCGAAATCTTTATTGTTTTGGGAAATAATTGAATGTTTAAAACTAGTCCAAAACCTGTTTTAACACCACCAATAACACTGAAACGTCCCAAAACAAGAAATCTAACAGAAAAGGCAATTAATTTATAGAAGAGAAAGAGACTCGGAGTTCGCTCGGATTTGACAAATCTGAATTTTAGAAAATGGCTACTTTCAAATTTGTCTGTGTCTACCACTTACATATACGTTCACCCAGGTAGTGCTCATACCCACACAAGGCACATTGAACTAAACCCTAAAGCTTAAAATCCAACTTTTTGAACCAAATCGGATATTAAAAATTTTAAATAAATTCGGATTTCAAAAATCCGACCCTAAACCCTAAACTCGAATTCTAGAAATCCGACATAAAGCCTAAACTCTAAACCCAAAAGTTGGATTTTGGTAATCCGAGTATTAGTTACAGTCAGATTTTAGGAATCCGAGTTCATCCTAAACTCGGATTTGGGAAATCCGAACTTAAACCCTAAACCCTATGGCCTGATTTTGAAAATATAATTTTTTGTTTAACTCAGATTCTGAAAATTCGATTATTTGTTTAAAAAGTACATAACACTAGTACAGATGAATTATACTGAATTAATAATAATATCTAACAATTAAAAGATTTAACAGTAATACGTAACAATAGTACCAATAATGTATAATGGGTAATAATATTAATGTACTACATAATACTAGTATGTACAAATAGTACATAACACTAGCACAAATGAATTATACTGGATTAATGATAATATCTAATAACTAACAGATTTAACAATAATAAGTAACAATAGCACTAGTAATATATAATGGATAATAGTATTAATATACTACATAATACTAGTACGTACAAATAGTACATAACACTAGTATAGATGAATAATACTGAATTAATGATAATATCTAATAACTAAAACATTTAACAGTAATAAATAACACTAGTACCAATAATGTATAACTGGTATTAGTATTAATGTATTACATAATACTAGTATGTACAAATAGTACATAACACTAATACAAATAAATTATACTGAATTAATGATAATATAAAATAACTAATAAATTTAACAGTAATAAGAAACACTAGTACCAGTAATGTATAATGGGTATTAGTATTAATGTACTACATAATACTAATACGTACAAATAGTACATAACACTAGTATGGATGAATTATACTGAATTAATGATAATATATTATAACTAATAGATTTAACAGTAATAAGTAAGACTAGTATCAGTAATGTATAATGGGTATCAGAATTAATGTACTACATAATATTAGTGCGTATAAATAGTACATAACACTAGTACAGATGAATTATACTGAATTAATGATAATATTTAATGATAATATTAATAAAGACGGATTTCCAAAATCCGATTTTCCGATTCAAAAATTTGGCGCCACAATTTTTCATTTAATGATTTTAATTTATTGAATTCGGATTTGTAAAACTCGAAGTCGACTGTTCCTATTCTGACCTCTTTTGATTGTATTTTCAAAAAATATAAATATTTATTATTTTAATATTAAATGATGATTCAGATTTTAGAAATCCGAAGTTTAATTTTAATGATGATTTGGATTTTGGAAATTCAGAGGATATAATTTTGTCCACACAAATTTCAAAAAAATTAATTTGGTCTACTTTGTTTTAAGGAATTTTTTTAGGTCAAAGACCCCAATTTAGGCCGTACCTGGCATAAACTATAGTACTGCCAAAATCCCCAACTCCAGAAAATAGCTTCACGAATCTGCGCTAAACTGAATCAAAAGCCTACCCGTATAGATCCCTTCCTTCTTGATTTCGCCTATGCCATTTTCCCTCCATATTTATGATACGAAAGGTTAGTCAATTTCTTTCCAATTTTTTTAGGTATTTTAATATATATTAGTGTTGCAATCGTTCTGATTTTTTTAACCCTAGTTGGTAGCTTGCTCATATAATAAAGCGGGGCTCCACTTTTTTGATATGGTTAAATGGGAGTTCTAGGTCACTATTATCTACGTGTCAATTTATGATTGAATGTTTTGTTTTGTTATAACTTTCCAGCTCTTCGACTTCCTCTTCTTCTTTTCCGGTTGTCGGTCCCTCGGAACAATTCCTCAGAACCAAAGGTTTCAACTAAGTTATTGAAGTCTGAAGCAGAGTTCAATGGGAACTCTCTGAACAGAATTGCTCCAGATGATACGAAACCGCCTCAATCCATGACTTGTACCTTTTGGTTCTTGCGATAGCGTCGGCAGGAAGAGGCAGTGTAGCCACTCATCTCTTCCTATTTGTGAACTCTATTTTATCCCTATCCTCCCAGTTCAATCATCATCTCTTTGCTTCAGTTGTCGATTCTCTAAGTATCCCTGTCCTGCTTCAATGTACGCTTATCTCTGGACTTTCTTCCATTTTTCTTTTCCCAATCGAGTTGCTTTGACAAATTTTTTTCCCTATCTGTTTTATTTTCTTGCTTCTTGATATGATTGTTTCACTCCTGGGTATCGCTTGTGTTATGCCACTGGAATTGGATTTTCGCAGTGTTTTAGTGATTAAATTGGTTAGATTATGAGTTTACCTTTGTTATAAATCTTTGTTCGGTTGTTCCTCCTTCTCTTAGGTATCTTAGTAAAAATTGAGGTGTAATACATGCTGTGCTTGTTTATAGTGCTGAGAGAATAGGGAAAAAAGAGGTCCAGAACAATTGTGTTCTCTAACTTGCCTTTGTGAAAACTAAAATTGCTACAATTATGGATGGCTAGGAATCCAACTCTTGTACTGTTCTTATCATTGTTGGTCATTGTAATTTTTTTGTTTGGGTTTGATTAAATTTCAGGTGGAGATGCAACTTGAAATGGTAAGAGTTTGTCACTATTTTGATGTGTTTCAAGTGTGCAATTATGTATTTTGCTAAAACAAAATTCTTTTATTGCTTGTTGTGGGGGATAATTCTATTTGACTGTATCATAGCAGAGGGGCTCATCTTTTACTGTGGTGATGCATTGCTTTAATCATTGTTTCGCCCTTTCTCCATTAAGAACTTTGCTTTCAGATAAAATTTCTGTTAGGTTTAGTTCTGCATGTTTAAGAACACTGCACTCGGAGTATCTGTGATACCTTTGCCTGTAGGATGAATATGACTTAAGTAACAAAGACATTAAATAGATTTGGATAATTAAATGTAGATCCTCACTTCCCTCATTACTCTATATAAGCAAGCTAAGTGCGCGATATCAAGTATTCTTAACAAAGAACTGAAGAAGTACTACCTTCTTTATTAACTCATCACATCTTTCTACCTTGTCAGTTCTACCAACTATTGTAATTGCTTCTTTCCTACATTTATAGGTAAAGTTCCACACGTACAACATGTGCTCTTATCTTAATCTATCACGTAGTCTTCTAGTTCTTCTTTTTTTTTTTCTTTCCAAAACATAAATTTTTTTTGTTTATTTGGATATATTCTTACTGAGAACTTTCTTTTGTCTACAATGAAACTACTTTCGAAGCTCAGTCCCCGTTGTTCGATTTGCTTCCATTTGATTTGATTTGCTTTTAATCCCAATCTCAAATGCACGCACATTTAGTGTGTAAATGTTGTTTAATATTATGTTACAAAGAGTGTAGGATTTCTTGTCCTAGCAGCCTTTGATTTTGATTTGTTGAAAAAAATCTCCCGTTTATTACACATTAGCACATATAACTCATGATGATGCAAGCTTAGATGGTAATCTCCCAGTTTTTCACCAATATATTGCACCGACCTGGAAGCTCACACACTAAGAGCTTGCTGGTACACATCAAGAGCTTGCTGGCGGAGGAGGTTCTTTTCCATTCACCATCAAATCTGTAACCAGAGCTTCGTTTCAGGATTCATTACAGAAGTTAGACGCAAATGGATTCCACAAGTCTAAAGCTGAGAACACTCTGGAGACTGGTGAATAAGCCGAGAATAAATTGCATCTTGTGTTCATTGCTTCTTGTTCCCCCATACTGGATATCATCTGTATAAAACTTAGAATCTTTAAGAGTATATTTGTAATATCTAGAACAAGAGCTCTTTTTGGATGTAATAATATATATATTAGTTGCACATAAGTGATATTTCCTTCCTTCCACCAATAATTTTCAGGTATATTATATTGATGTTTATAATGAAGACATTAAATTGTATACATTTTGGTAGATCACTTTCTCGCCATTATCTTTGCTAAAATAAAATTCACAGATTATAAAAAATCATCTTGAGCTATTACACATATTTATTACTCAACTGCTCTATATCACAAAACTACAACCCCAGGTCAACTCAAACATATGATCGCACCTCATACGGACCATAACAAGCTAGTTTTAAAGAAAAGGCCTGAAACTCAAATTTGTTAACGCCTCTCCAAACCGAATGCCAATACTCCTGGAATGTCAATACTCCTGGACTAGATTGTAGGTAATAGAGAATGTAGGGGGCTGATTCTAATATTTCAGAAATGGGTCAGACTATATAGTCAACCTGGACGCGTAAACGGGAGGAATCATCCGACATTGAGAGTCCGACTGTTCTTCCCCAAATTGACGACTCCTAATTAAATTTCATTACTCTTCCAGAACTTTGGCTCTGCTCCCATTCTCATCTTCATTCATCATCGTCATCTCGACCAATATCAAGAGTAGTAGCTCAAGGTGGAAGAGGTAGGATAGCTGGGATTTTTAGGATCGTTCGAGCTGCAGCTACCATCTCTGGCCGAAATTCTTTGTAGGTAATTAACTCGCATTCTCCTCGTTTTTGTTTCTGAAGTTCGAAATATAAATGAAGAGGATGATAAGTAATGATCCGAGGTCTAGGGATTTAGAATTAGCATCTTGTTTGAGAAATTAATTATTTTCATTCTTAAACTAGTTATGTTTGGATTCGATACTCTTTAGGTCTGGTTTTGGGGGAAAAAAGAAAAACCTAAATGGTTTTTGGGGTTAAGTTAGAGTCTGGTCCGTTAAATGGGATTGTAGTTTTAGGTTTAGTAGCTTAAACTTCAGGAATTGATAAACTGAAGTAGATGACCATATTCATTACACGGGCTAGCAATAAGGAGTCGGGATCGTAAAGGACATTAGGTATCGGGACAAGTGAAGTGAGTGTTCTCTTCTGTTTCTTTACATAAGTGTTCTTGCCGTTTCATATTGTAGAAATGTTTGTGCTGTTTTCTTATGCTATTTCCTTTACAAATGAACTGTTTGAAACTTCACTGTGTTGTTTGAAATATCATTCAGAATCCAGCCTTCACGAGAAGGCAGCAACAGAATGCCGTTGGAAACTTCTATGGTTTCATAAATATTTTGTCCGTAAACTATTTAATGACAATTCATTGGTTGCTGTCAGCTTAAGATTCTTTCCCTCTAAAATGATTTTCTTAAACGAGGTTGAGTTCTCTATGATGAGCTTTTTCTACTATCACTGAACTACTGCATTCTCTGTTTTTCGAGTGAAAAATTTCTTGATAAGCTTGCTTTGTTTCAACTTTCTACTTATTGAGGACTTGATATCACACTGTTAACCTACTCTTTGGTTGTCACTCCATGAGGCTGGCTTTCAAAGCTTTCTTAGCTTCTCAAATATTTTGCTAGTTTTAATAAGGTAGTCGATATTGATATCTTTTTGTTTATGATACGAAGACTGGGGATTTGGAATCAGCCATTACCACATCTGGGTTGGACTTTCTAAGATGGCTCAAACTACTGAGGTATTGCAATCGTATTTTGCACCCATTTTGTTTCTTTGCTTTCTGCTGTAATGTTTGGAATACTTATTGAAAAATTGTGTTCATTTATCTTAGGGTGGTGCGACTGAAGAAGTGGAAAAAATTCTTTTCAATTTTATGACTAATGAAGAGGTGAAGAGGCACAGTGTTGTTAAAATTATCAATCCACTTTTACTTGATAGTTTGGGACGCCCAATACCTGCTGGGCTCTATGATCCAGCCATGGGCCCTTTTGATGAAATATCTTCGTAAGTTTTCCAAATTTCTTGTTCTTGATTTGCATCTTTTGGCGGTATGGTTTAGAGGAAACCCATCCTTTATGCTTGATAAGTTTATTGTACTCGTATGTGGTGTATTTGCTTGTTTGAGAATGAAAAAGTTTAGTTGCCATCGTTCGTCTTGGTTTTAATTGAATAGGGATTAAAGAAGTTGAGATGCTATTACTTGGTTTGCTTTTTTGCTGTTTAAATATAGGCAAAAAAATATGCTTCTATTCATTGATTGGCCAGTATTTGATTGTATCAGTCATTTTGGGCAGAGGAAATATTTTATGACTTGCATTTGAACTCTTTCTCATGAACAATTTTCTGAATCATCTATTTTGACCAAGTACGATCTTGTTAATATAATCTGCAATGTTTGCATCCTAGACGTAATTGAATTAACTATTACATAATCAGATGATACTGATGAATGTGGGGAAGGCGCAATCTAAACTTTTAGATGGTTGTTTTCAGGATGATGAATTATGCATGGATTTTGTAATTTGTGAATTTTTTTTCCAAATCTTTTCTTTGGCGCTTCTGTGCAAACGATTCTTGTTTCTCCTTTTGAGCTGTCTACAGTCAATTCATCCTTTTGGTGTAAACATTAGATTTTTCTTGGATGCCCTCAGCACAGTCCCTCTTGCTTGTTGCTTTAGGAAATTAATGGATTTTACCCTTCATTTGTAAAGAGCCAAGAACTTAAGCCTAGTCATTCTTAAATTGTTGTCTTTGTCATAGAATGTTGACTACAAACTTTGATCATCTCGTTCTACTTTATTTTGAGGAAGTTGATTTATGACTGCTTCGACCCCTTAGGTTTGTCTTTACTCCTGAGAATTTATTGATTCTGCTCTATTTGATTTGTTGAATGGGACTGTATACTGAGATAGTTATATAAATGAAAAGGGAGCTTTCCAAACAGCAGTGTATGACGGACTATGTGTTTTACATTTAGATATCCGATTTTTTTTTGTGGATTTAAAAAATCATGTTCTAAAGAGAGGAAATTCGACTTGAATTGTTTAATGAGCTGGGAATATTGAAGGTAATCATGAAGAACTTTGGATACCTGTCTGTGGATCTTAATAACATGTGCACGTTTCTCTTGCTCAACTTGTCATAATTTTGTTTGACACAGTCAAGCGTTGGGTAGCTAGAATTTTAATTGTTTGCTATTTCTAGCAGTATTTACAATGTCCTTTAAGATATTAAATCTGATGATTATGCAGCTGCAAATCATGTGGTCAACGCGCATATAACTGCCCTGGTCATTGTGGTCATATTGAGCTCGTTTCACCAGTATACAATCCCTTGCTCTTTAATAGGCTCTACAATCTATTACAGCGAATCTGTTTCTTTTGCTTTCGGTTCCGAGCCGATAGAGAAGAGGTATATTGTGTCATTATGATCATCTTAAAATTCTTGGTGGTTTAGTTTTTTTATATTCATTGCTACTTAAAATTCTTGACGTGTTTAATGTTTGCTTTAGGTGGATAGATGTGTATCTCGACTGAAACTCATTTCAAAGGGTGATGTCATTGGGTCAAGAAATTTGGATTCCACAGATTCACCAAACTTGGATGCCTCTGAGGACAGTGAAGGTAGGCATGTATCCCAAGGTAATAGAAACCCTGGTGCCGAAATTCACTTGAAGCAGATGGAACAAAGCTCTTGGGATTCTTTTCAGTTTACCGAAGCTATGTCTGTTTTAAACAAATTTCTTAAGCCGCGGACCGCCAAGTGTCCTAATTGCAAAGCTAAAAATCCAAAGATCACGAAACCAACTTTTGGATGGTTTGAATCGGTACGTGCATTATTATCCATGGATGCTAAAAATCTGAAGTTGTATTATTATACATGGATGCTAAAAATCTGAAGTTTAGTTTCCTTTAGCAATTAAGAATTTTTCTGCAATAAATTTTCTTAGTTGTAGTGTATGATGTATGACAACAATTGCTCTAAGATGCTACTCTTGTGATAGCAGTGTCCTGTTATCGTAAAATTTGAAGTTAGTTATGAATCCTTGCTCATGTTTGGATAATAATAATAGTAATATTAAATAATCCCTTATTATTATTATTATTATTATCATTATTATTATTATTTACTATGCTATAACTTAATGCATTCAGAAACATACTTAATATCTTCCGAAGTATGGAGGTGGAATGAACTCTCAATAAACGAGTTATTTAATTCGAAGGAAGATTGTTTTCTAGTAATCATTTATCTTCAGCCAAACATAAAATGTTGAAAGGTTATCAGTTTTTTGTCGGTTGTCGTTTATAAAGAGAAAGTATAATTGTCATTGCAATTGGGATGACTAAGATTTGGTCTCAACCAGCTGTTAAGGTAATTCAAAGTCTCTAACTGATCAGAGAACAGAAGCTTTAGGTTTTGTCAGCAGTTTATCAAACTTGCACTGGCATTGTCCTTGAGAAATCTTCTTGCTACTTGTTCTGTTCCAGAAGTTTAGTCTGGGTAAATTTTGATTCATAATGTGTTCATCGTCCCTTTGGTGTAAGGCCAGGAGTATAAAATAAGAAAAAATTTCCCAGTAAGCACAGACAACTTGTCTTAGTGAATCTCATTAGGAAGTTCTTCCTTCATAGTTCATGATGCTGGCGTCTGTTTTTAGGTTATATCATATATGATTTATAATATCTTCGATAAGCACTAGTCCAAGTATTTAGAATTTGTTTGGTCTGAAATAGGTGAAGTGGTGGAATTTGAAACTATGCAGTGTTGACAAACTGTGATAAATTGGACTTAGAAGTTGCTTATATGCGGAATTAGGAACATAGGAGTGAACAAGTCTATGAATGGCTTGAACTTACTTCACCACAAGGGATCAGGTCTTTTAGTTGAGGTTGCTTGGGTGTACCTGTTCTTAATAAGTTTCTTTCTTCATCTCCTATTGATTTGTCCAAGTTGGCGGATCTACAGGGGTATTTCATTTCCGGTATTATATTTGGACTCTGCGAATGAAATTTAAGTATCTTTGCCTAATTAATCAACAAGTGAAAGCTTTTTTGTGTTTGCTCTGAAACTGGTGGTGGTGAATGGGAGTTTTTACCTTGCACCTTTTACTTTTTTACTGTTTAATTTGAACAAAGTATTGACACTTCTGTTATGTCTACATTGTCGAACTCCCTTTGAACTTGCTATATCTTACTCAGTTCAACCGTTTTGCTTTACTAGGGTCTTTCAGGCATTGAAATTCGTGGGAACATAATTAAAAGCCATGGATTAGATGGTTTAACTGGCGGATCTGAAGAAAGGTCTATCTCTGAAGTTCTAAATGATAATGACTCTGCACGGGAGAAGGATCCTGAAGCAGCCGAATCTGATTCCGATTCCTCCACCTCTGATGGAACAAAAAGTACCAGGGTTACAAGACCTTCATTTGAAACTAGTGTGTCACGGAAATTCCAAAAACATAAGAATACCTTTTCTGGACCTTTGTTACCAACTGAGGTATGCTCAATTTCAGCAGTCTGTGTCTGGAATTCTGTTAGCTGTTTGAATACCCCATAGTAAAATGTGTGCCGGACATTTTGGTTTGTGCACATTTCATTGTTTCCTCCTTTACTTCGGATCTCAAAAGGTGCTCTGTTCACCTGACAGGTTAGAGATGTTTTGAAGCATCTGTGGGAAGCTGAGTCTTCCATTTGTTCATTTGTTTGTAACCTTATGAGCGAGCAACTTTATACAACCACCAAGGACGCTGGTCACTTGATGTTTTTTCTTGACTCCGTTCTTGTACCGCCCACCAAATTTCGTCCTCCAGCTAAAGGGGGCGATTCAGTAAGTAACTTGAAATAAAAAATGAATGTCACCTTTGATCAATTTGGTGTTTGAAGCAGACAGTAATTGTAGAACTCAAATCTCTTCAGGTAATGGAGCATCCTCATACTGTTTTGTTAGGCAAGGTACTGCAGTCTAATATATCTTTAGGCAACGCTCACCAAAGTCATGCTGAGCGGGATAAGATTGTTGGCCGTTGGAAGGATCTTCAGCAATCTATAAATGTTTTATACAACAGTAAAACAGCTGTTGGTAAGTTTGCTTCTCATTCTGTTTCTTCTTTTGGTTTAAGTGCTTTATATGTGTTGAACATTGTGTCCACGACTTTTTGCTTATTGATTATAGGAGTTAGTGACTACCTGTATCTGTGCTCTAATGATGAGGATAACTTGCATATCCGTTCCGCCAACCGATTGTTTATTGTTAAGCAGCTGTTAAGCAGCTATTGTTTTAAAGTTTGCTGCTTTTAGAGGAAACTTGGGCAATTATGACCTCATGCATGAGTTCCTTTATGTTTATTCACTTCATGGTGCATAAGTGGGAAACAACTTGTTTTTCACAGTTGAAGTTTGGACAACTTAAGTTTCGTAATATCAAATCTGCCATGTGAGGTCCATCCTGCATGATTTGGATGTCTCTTACCATTTTACTACTTATACAGAGATTGGTATCAGTTAGCAATTTAGTACATTTCATGCTAATATATCTCTGGATGTTTGCCCAGATCTGCAATTACTTTTCGCATTCAGCTTTTTTGTTTGTTTTCCCCCCTCTCTTCTAATCCTTTAAACCTAGCGATCATTTACGGATGGAGAAACTTTCCATATACTTAAACTGTTAGAATTGAATATTCAATATCACTCTGACAAAATGTTTCCGTACGAAATGGCAGGTCAGAGTCAAATGGGAAGTGATGGGATATGCCAGTTCTTGGAGAAGAAGGAGGGTATTTTCCGCCAGAAAATGATGGGAAAGAGGGTTAATTTTGCTGCTCGGTCTGTTATTTCTCCAGATCCATATCTGGGAGTCAATGAAATCGGAATTCCTCCATATTTTGCCTTGAAGCTAACATATCCGGAGGTATGTTTGATTATGATGCATAATATGGATGTATTATGAATGTACATATCCTCACCATAAGTTGAGGTCTCCTTCCTAAAATTGTTTGGACCTAAGTAAAAGAATTAAAAAATGAGGAGATTTTAGGTTTTGAGAAACTAAACTTCTACTTGGTTAGCATCTCTGTGAATCTGTTTACCAACGCTTGGAACTTCTTGGTCAGGTAGGTATAATATGCCTTGCTGGACATGTTGTCATGGTTTTGCTATGTTATTGCTGTCAAACAATAGAATAAGAAAATTTTAAATCTCAGTGATAGCTTTCCCCCAATCAGTTATGGCTTCTGGTGGAGAAGAGATGTCTACACGATGCAGATGCCCATCCCCATATCTCCCTCAAATGGGCATTCAATCAAAAAGTACTATCTATTTTTTGCTGGGCGATTCATTAGGCTAAATTAAGAACTTGTAATTGTGTATGATTTTTGTACCTTTGCAGAGATGAATTGTTCATGGGCTAGTTTGATGATGTATGATTCATCAATTTGGTAGTTATTTCTTGGGAGGTAGTTCCCAGGCCCGTAGTGGACTAAGGGTAATAAAGAAACAGAGAAACATTGAAGTATGGAAGTTGCAGAACTATATGCCAAGGACTACAAATGAGGAAATCCAAAGAGAAATAGTTTTTATTTTTTCTTTTCTTGGTTTTTCTCTGTTTCTAAAATATTTATTGTGTGTGTCTTCAATTTGATTTCCAAAAAAATGGAAAATCATATTCTATAGATACGTTTGTCTGCATTTAAAATTTTCACTGTGTCTGCAGAAAGTTACCTCATGGAATCTTGCCAAACTAAGGAAGGCTATCATTAATGGCCCAGATATTCATCCTGGAGCTTCAGCATGTGCTGATAAAGTTTCTACCATTAAGCTTACCCAATCCAGGAAAGCGCGTTCGACTATATCTAGAAAATTGTTTTCTTCAAGAGGGGTTACTCAAACAGGGAAGAATAGTGAGTATGAAATTGAAGGAAAAGTTGTCTATCGACATTTACAAGATGGAGACATTGTTCTCGTGAATCGACAGGTGAGCACATTATTTGTGCATGTTCTTATACATTCACCAAAATATAAATTTTTGTTGAAATAGGGAAGGGTTTGGCTCTTTGTTGGAGCAGTGAAGTGTGTGTATGTTTCTGTTACTTTTGTATCATTTTATGTATTAGGTCTTAATAAGTTATCTGCTGGTTCTATAGCTTCTTCTTGTTCAACTTAGTGGGCCTTACCTCCGTCTTCATAGTATTAAATGTATCATCAACCTTTAAATTTGATAGTTCCACTAAGATTTTGTTTTAGCATAGTCTGCTAGTCTGTTAACTGATTTAAATGCTGAGCACAGTCAGTGTAAGTTTTTTCCTGTAAGAATAAAGATCTTGTGGCTTTTTCTAGTTTATCAATCCATTAGGGGTGACAGTCCGTAATTATTTGAATGAGATGCGGTTGTTAATTTGTGCTCCAGTTAACTTACTATCACCACTCAATTCTTGTCTTTGGGATGCAGAGCAAAATTATTCTTCATTTGTATGTTGCCGTAGTTAGGAGAGAATTATAAGGTTTGAGATTATGCCTATAACTGTTTGTATCAGGTTCATTCCGTTATTGTTACGTTATTTTGTTTCATGTTAGATATAGCGAGTAATTATTTTTTAATTGAGTTATGTGATTTGTTGCTTTATGTGGTAGTGTTTAACATTTAGTGGAATGGAATGTATTCTGAGAGAGAAACTAGTGGTTACGAGAAAAGGAATTTTTTCATCATTAATGACCATTTCCTTTTAGGTTACGACATGTGCAATGGAGATATTTATGAAACCATGTTTTGTGTCCCTCTTATGTTCTGACATGATAAAAAATGTGCTGCTGAATATGAATTCAAGATTCTTATATACTGGGAAAGAGAAGAAATGAGATAAACATATTTTGGAAAAAATTGTTTTGTGATTAGCCTACGCATATATACGAGTTCTGGACTATGTACTCAGAAAATAAGGCTATTGGGACTCCATGGTTGAAGCTGTAGCATAATTAGTAAATCTGCCTAGTTAATTATGCCTTTGTTCCATATTAGAGTTGTTCTAGTCAGTAACAGATACATATTTAATTTCTAAATCCCTTTCATGCTGATGTTGATCATAAAACGCACATCTTGAACTTCGAGAATACATATTTAATTTTCACATCAGAGATGCGTTTTAGGAGCGGCATGATCTTATCATTTACAAGTCTTTCAACCATTTTGGGGTGTCAGCCATTCGAAATACGTCGAATATCATTTTAATTAGTAACACCATTCTACAATATTGAGTGTAGGACATTATAAGTTTAGATTATTATTTTGTTTCTGATAAGGTTTTCAACCATTTTTGGGTGTCGGCCCTTCCACGTAAAGTTTTTATCATTATTTTAATGAGTTACACAGTTGTCTACATTCTTGGTGTAGGACATAATAAGTTCAAATTATTTTCTTTTTTTGATAAGGAGTCAATCCAGATGTTTATAGGTATGATTTAAATGATAATCTTCAATATGTCTTTATAATGGTGAGTGCGCCATGCCCCCACCGCCCAAAACACACACACACACTCACACAGAGTAGCTACTTTTACATGAGTAATATTTCGCCAATTATGGTTCTGTTTTGTGTGCCTATGCCCTAAGTAGTAGTAGTACCAATAGATCCTGTAGTGTCATGATAACGGTGTGCTCTGCTTTTTAATTTTTGTTGTGCCCTCTTTGTTGAAAATAAATAGTTCTCAACTCAGGGTTTTGGTTGAGACCGTTACTTTAATCTCAAGCATGCTGCTCCAAGTCTGGTTTGGGCCAAGATATTTTAAGAATGAATTTTTGCATGTATGCTCTTAGATTTTTTTCCCCTTTTTTTCCCCTCATTTTTGTGCATTTGTCCCCTCAATACCTACTCATTAATTAATATCTATATCAGTATGTTGAAGTGGGTAAAAGACTTAGGGATGTATTGTATATTTGCATTGAAGATGCAGTTTATGATGATGTCTATATCTACTTGCAGCCTACCCTTCACAAGCCAAGTATAATGGCTCATGTTGTTCGTGTATTGAAAGGGGAGAAAACTCTACGCATGCATTATGCAAATTGCAGGTTAGGAGTACCAAATATTAATCAATTTACTGTTATAATTTTCTCCACCAGCTAACTTATGCTTTATTTTGTTAACTCCAGTTCGTACAATGCTGATTTTGATGGTGATGAAATGAATGTTCATTTTCCTCAAGATGAAATTTCTCGTGCTGAAGCTTATAACATTGTCAATGCCAATGAGCAGTACATCGTTCCCACAAAGGGCGACACTGTCAGAGGCTTGATTCAGGTTTCTAAATTTCCTTCTGTTATTCTGTGGAATGCCTTAAAGGATAGGACTCATGAAATCTGTCATCTTTGTTTTCTCATATCTTTTTCTGTTACATCCCTTAAATCTCTTGCTGGTAAACTATGTACCTGCAGGATCATATTGTTGGTGCTGTGCTCTTGACATTGAAAGATACATGTTTGACCAAAAATGAATTCAATCAACTTCTTTATGGTTCTCTTGCTTGTTCTGGGAATATTTCTGAATTAGTTTCTCAAGGTATTGTCCAGCCAGGTTTGCCTGCTTATTGGAAACCACTTCGCTGGACAGGGAAGCAGGTTAGTTAATGAAAAGAATTTCCGTTTGTATTGCTTCATGTGTTCACGAGTGATGAGGTTCGCAAATGGTGTCTAGAGCAGAGTTGTCTAAATATTGATTGTGTACACCTTAATATCATATTGGCTTCTTTTGTTTCATTCATTTACAATTTGCATTTTTTACTGTAGGTGATTTCTGCACTGCTAAACCACTTGACAAGAGGGTGTGCTCCTTGTACAGTTGAAAAAGAGATGAAAATACCAAAGGAGTATCTCCCAAGTGAGACTGTCACAAACCAACCACACAGTTTACTTGTTTGGAAAAATGAGCTGGTATGTGGTGTTATTGACAAGGCTCAGTTTGGGCAATTTGGCCTGGTGCATACTGTACAAGAGCTATATGGGTCAAACACTGCTGGCTTCTTACTTTCTGCACTCAGCCGTCTTTGTACAATCTTTTTACAGGTGTACTAGCTGTGCTTTATGAATACTTTTATTTTTTTCTTCCCCTTTTTTTTTTCCTCCTCCCTTCTTTTGGACTTTGACAGCATGTCTGTTGTTTGTTATTACATGTGTTTTAGATGCATGGCTTCACCTGTGGGGTTGAGGACCTAATAATACTGCCCAGTTTCGATGATGAAAGAAAAGAGAAACTTGAAGGTGAAGATGTTGGTGAAGGTGTTCATTGTGACTTCGTCAAAAAAGGTAAAGCTTTGACAGTAGTATTGCAACATAAGTAGTTTCGTAAGTTATTTCGTGCTCATTTTTATGACATGTACAAGTCGATTTGAGCCTCGTAGTGCTTTGCATCACTGAAACTTAAAGATTTACGGGACATGGAAAGAACCCTTGTTTGTTTATAAGTGTGAACATCTATTTATCAGGCTAAAGCATGAGATAAGTTGGGTTCAGATACTAAACATCTATTTTATCAGGCTAAAGCATGAGATAAGTTGGGTTTAGTTACTTAGGATTGATGATAATTCAGGATATTCAAATGAAACTAAAAAATAAATTTGCTACATTGTTAACAATGATGACTATTATATCCATTGCAAATGGAGCTGGAAGAGTCATCAGTGACAATTCTTTCAGCTTTGTGCTAATAATGGATTAGATCAAAATGGCTCATCAAAATTTCGGCACTTCTTAATTGGTGAAGTTTCTGGAAATCAATACATCAATGTACCATTGCATCCTGGGTCGTACTACTTAAACAGCCTCTCTGTATTGACATACAGGGGTAAGACTGCATACATCTTGACCCCCCAGACCCCAACCGAGTTGGGAATATACTGGGTTGTTGTTGTTGTTGTTGTTGTTAACAATGATGACTATGGTGTTATTCACATGTCATGCAGTACAATTTCATTTTATTAAACAAATGATGTACACTAGTGATCCGTGTATCTGCTCTATGTAACCAGGTTAATCATGCTCTTTCGCGGTCACAGAAATGTTGGTTTAGTATTAGTGTTTTATTGTATAATATTTTTAAAGAGTCTCTATTTCGATGCTGAAAGATGTTTTCTCATTGAATGTTTCCTTATCTTGCCTTTTTGTAATTATTCTTTTGTGATTGGATCCTTTTACTCTGTTAGTGCTACTATTATTATTTTGAAATGTCTGTTATCAATATCAGGCCCCTTAAAACTGCAATTGGAAGTTGAGAAAGTACTTAGCCGTGATAGAGAGTCTGCTACAGCATTATTAGACATGAAGATGAAGAATAAATTAACTGAAAAGGCCAATAAGATCAGCAAGGAATTACTTCGTCAAGGATTGTTGAAACCCTTCCCAAAGAACTGCATTTCTCTAATGACGATAAGTGGTGCTAAGGGTAGTACGGTAAGTTGGTAGAATTTTGTGCAATTACTTTCTGCGTCTAATTTTGTTGCTTGTTGGGGTTGCTGTGTATCCACGACCATGTTTCTTTTATAATCATGATATTGCCTGTGGCATAATGGCATAATTTCTTTCCCTGTAAATGATTCAGGTATGCCTGTATGCAAATCTTTGTCTTTAACATTTTTTCATGTCATTGACATGATGTTGTTGCTATTGTAATTACATGATACACTCCTTGTCGAAGAACTGGGTACTTCTCCGGACTGTAAAATTGTTCTGTGTTTGTTCAGCACCGGGGATTGATATGATTATCAGATAGTCCAATAACTTTCCTGGTCTGCATTGGGGACTTCATTTATCGTCTTCTTTCTTCATTCAATTTCTGCTTCTACAGTTTGGAGGCAATTAAAATCTGCCTCTCGTAGTTACTTTACTGTACTTATTATTGTACTGAATTACTTTAACTAACCCTGCAAACAGGTCAACTTCCAGCAAATATCATCTTATCTGGGACAACAGGAGTTGGAAGGCAAGCGGGTTCCCCGTATGGTATCCGGAAAGACATTGCCCTGTTTCCCACCATGGGATTTTACTTCAAGGGCTGGAGGCTACATTACTGATCGTTTCCTTTCCGGTCTTCGTCCCCAAGAATATTATTTCCACTGCATGGCAGGTCGAGAAGGGTAAGCTGTATTGGCTACCGTTGCTTCATATGGAAAACGGCTGATATTTTTTGTTTTAATTTGTTTTCTGTCTGCCTTGTGATAAGTGGTTTGCTCCATTTTTATTGCCTATGTTAGGGTTGCTTCCATATATGTGATTTGACTTTTCTCCATTCGTCTTTTCATTCTCTTCTTCACAAATGTATTATCCAGACACATTAGTGTGTAAAAGTTACTTGATGTGACCTGGGTATTTGATGTATTCCTCCTAATTCAAGATTTAAATATATGCTTTCTTAATGTTCATAAGTAATCAAGTGTAAGATCTCTCACCACTACTTTGTGTACAGATTTAAATCTTTGATTTTTCTGATAAGTTATATATTTAATATTTGATGAATTCATGGTTAGTGTAGTATGGGGACTTCTTTAACTTTGACCATCTTCTTTCTTTCTCTTCCCAGTTTAGTAGATACTGCTGTGAAAACTTCACGTAGTGGATATCTGCAACGGTGCTTGATAAAGAACCTCGAGAGTCTGAAAGTATGTTATGATTATACTGTACGTGATGCTGATGGTTCCATTGTTCAATTCTTTTACGGGGAAGATGGTGTTGATGTTCATAAGACCAGCTTCCTCAAAAACCTCAAAGCATTGGCACTGGTGAGAAATTAAGATACTGTCTCTGAATACCTTTTCTTAAGAATTAAATTTGATTACAATCTTCTTGCTTTATTTCAACTTTCAGAACGAGGAGACACTTCGTGATAAATATAAACATGAACATGAGTTCAACAATTATATTGTTGAGTTGCCAGTGCAGTTGGAAAAGCAAGCCAAAAGCTTTCTAGAGAAATCCGAGACAGAAAAATTGCTAAAAGAGTTGGAATCGCTGAAAAGGTGGGATTTGCAAGAAGAGTGGAAAAAGAATGAAAAAAGCTTTCTAGAACAATCGGAAAAATTGCTAAAAGAGTTGAAGTCGCTTAAAAAGTTGGACTTGCAAGAAGAGTGGGGAGAGAGAGAGAAAAGGTGTATTGAAGAAGCCAAGAAAGAGTTGCAAGAGAAGAAATGGCTGTCGCCAAAAGAGTTGGCAAGGAAAGCAGAGGAAAATCTTCTAGGATCAGTGAAAGAGAGAAGAACAGGATTCCTAAAAGCAGTGAAGGAGAGAAGAAATAGCTTTCTAGAAGCAGTGAAAGGGAAAGCAAAGAGCTTTCTAAAAGCAGTGAAGGCAGAGGAGTTTCTGGAAGAAGCCAATACAGAGTTGCATAAAGAGTTGGAAGAGAATGAAAACAGCTCTCTGAAAACCCTGAGGGGTAAGGTGTTGCCAGAAGAGTTGGCAAAGAATGCAGAACGCGTTCTTGAAGCAGTGAAGATGAAAGAGAGAAGAGTAGATGCAGTGAAAGAAAGAAGAAATAGCTTCCTAGAAGCAGTGAAAGAAAGAAGAAACAGCTTCGTAGAAGCAGTGAAAGGGAAAGCAAAGAGCTTTCTAGAAGCAGCGAAGGCAGAGGGAGTGCCAGAAGAGTTGGAAGAGCAAGCAACATGCTTTCTAGAACTAGTGAAGAAAGAGGACTTTCTAGAAGAAGCCAACGCAGAGTTGCTTTTAGAGTTGGAAGAAGATGAAAAAAGCTTTCTAAAAGCAGTGAAGAGGGAAGTGTTGCCAAAAGAGTTGGGAGAGCAAGCAAAATGCGTTCTTGAAGCGGTGAAGATACAGGATCTAAAGCAGTTTTTAAAGCTACTGACGCAGAAATATCTTTCGAGTCTTGCCCCGGCTGGAGAACCCGTTGGCGTCATAGCTGCTCAGTCGATTGGTGAACCATCAACCCAGATGACGTAAGATTTTTGTTACAGTTATTAATTATCGTAACATAAATGCTTTTTGTTTCTTGGAATCGGATTTCCTTTTCAAAGTCACATGAATGTACCTGTGCTAATTATTCTGTTCAAACTGCAACCTCTTGGATAAAGTGAACTTCTTGGGCATATTAGTTATGTGGTAGTAAATAAGTTTCAGCTATGGATGTAGCTCTTCCTCTAAGATCCCCGAGTTCCAAGCAGCCTTTGTTACTCTGTCAATGCGTCACATTGATCTAAAGTAAATTGATGATGACCCTCCCTCCCTCCCTCCCTCCCTCTCTCTCTCTCTCTCTCTCTGATAGGCATTAAGTAATGGTGAATAGGGTTGTGTTTAATTGCTCAGCTCACAGGGTGGGCACAACGGAAATTTGCAAAAAAGAAATAGAATTGCATGTCAAGAAAGAAAATAGGAATATTGCAGAAAGTTTGAGTTTCCATGTTACGATGGTTTTGAGCGGACAAGAATTCTTGTAGATATTTTAAGAAGAGAAAATAGATGTTTTTCTTCTAGAATGTGAATATAACTTTAATTTGACTGTTTTTTCATCTTTTTCTTTTTTTCCTTTTCAGATTGAACACTTTTCATCTTGCTGGTCGTGGTGAAATGAACGTTACTCTTGGTATTCCACGTCTCCAGGAGATCCTGAAGACTGCTGCTGTTGTTATCAAAACTCCTGTTTTGACATGCCCATTCTTACAGTTCAAGTTCAAGTAAGTCTCTATGTTTACTTTTTTCTTTAAAAACAAAATCTTGTACTCTCGTTTTTAAGCATGATATTTTGTAGGTTTATAATCATATTGAATGAGTTTTGGCTACTTTGTCTGCAAGGGTTTTACTTTATCTGCCACTGCCATTGTCTGTTTGTTACTTATCTCACTTTCTAGCTCCTCTTCGTGCCTATAATCTCTTGAAATTGGTCATGTACAGGGCTGATGCTCAGTCTCGGGTTGATGAAGCCATGAAGATCACTGTTGCTCATATCATAGAGACCATGGAAGTACATATTTTGCCACTCTCTGTGCACAACAATGAGGTGAGCAGAATATATAAACTTATAATGACTTTCAAATGTCACAGCTTACTTTCCCCAGAAGATTGTGAGGAGACTCTTTCACATGGTTTCTTGAGGGGATTGGAGGATGCAATCGAAAATCATATTGCCCTGCTGGCCAAGATTAGTGGCATAAAGAATTACAAGTCAAATTCGCGCCCCCAGGAAAATGAAATGGATGAGGATGTTTCTTTGACATCTCACGGGAAGGAATCTGATGTGGATGAGGATGGTGATGGTGGGGATGATGACAACGATGCCAATGCTGATGATCTTGGTTCTGATTCACAAAAGAGGAAACAGCAGGGTACTGATGAGATTGACTATGAAGATGCTTCTGGAGATGAGTCAGCTGATGAGAGTGAACAAGGAGTAGCTGGTGAGTCCAATGACGAGCATGGAATTGGAGAAGATGAGGAAATTGTCAATGTTGATTATGAGCATGCTTCTGAAATCCCAAATGATGAGATGGAAATGTCAAGACATAAATCAAGTGATAGATCGGCATCATCAGCAAGTAAAAGAAGGAACAGATCGAGAAAAGTCTTTGTTGGCAAGCAAACGGATAGACATGTGTTTGTGGAAGTCAAGGGGGGAAAGTTTGAGGCACATTTCCGATTTACCAATGAACCTCATATTTTGCTGGCACAGGTACATTCTGTCTCAGTTTTGATGTGTATGATTTTTATTTTTTTTAAATGTTACACCTGCGGAGAGGGAGTAGGGAACCTATTTGAGTGTTTGAGCCATTCCATTGAGCTTAGAACAGAATAGCTACTGTGTAGCTTGCTTTATTTATATAAGGAAATTGGTTTGTTGCTGCTTGTTCGTTAGGTATGTAAAGAGTGACGTTGCATCTGGATCCAGCTTTTAGATAATTGCAGTTGCTCCCTTGTTTATGATGCTTGTTTGTTTACTATCATTGTTCTCTTAGCTGTCCATAGGTTCATTTCCTAGTCCAGGTGATAACTTCTTGGCTTTCCTACACAGATTGCTCAGAGGACTGCAAAAAATGTGTACATCAAGAGCTCCGGTAAGATCAGTCAATGTAAATTGGTTGAGCATGATGTAAGTGAAAATTCAGTTATTTGGGACAAGGAAAAAGTCAAATTGAAGGACCAATTCGAGGATGAGTCGTATTGGGCACTGAAGGCTGCTGGAGTCGATTTTACTGCTTTTTGGGAAATGCAAGATGAGCTTGATGTTACACGGGTATACTCCAATAGTGTCCATGCTATGTTGACAACATATGGAGTGGAAGCAGCTCGAGCAACCATCATAAGAGAGGTGAAGAATGTATTCGGCAATTATGGAGTGCAAGTTGACAGCCGTCATTTAAGCTTAATCGCAGACTACATGACCCAAACAGGTGGCTACCGGCCAATGAGCAGATATGGATGTGTAACAGATACATTATCACCTTTATCTAAGATGTCTTTTGAGACAGCATCGAAGTTCTTAGTTGAAGCTGCATCTTTTGGGATGAGCGACGACTTGGAGACACCATCAGCCAGAATTTGTCTAGGCTTGCCAGTCAAGATGGGTACTGGTTGTTTCGACTTGATGCAGCAGTTTGAAATTTGAAGACCAGCAGTTTTGTAGGTTCATCATTTGAGAGTAAATGTGATAGGAATTGGGGTTGTCGCGTTTATTGGTTAAGACTAAAGAATTGGTTTTTATAATCGAGCGTGACAGAAAAATTTTGGAGGATATTAGGTAGCTTAACACTATTTGTAGCTAACATAAGTTATGGTTTGCGAAGCTCGTGCCTCTGCGTGTATTCCTGTAAAACACATACTATAATTTTTTGTTATGAGATCGGGTACAGCTTCAACCAGTCCTTTTAAGACCGACATGTCTGCTTGGTTAAAGGGGTTAAAAGCTCTGTGTTAAAGCTCGAATAATTTTACTCCACTTTTCGTCAATAGTTATGGAAGATTAATTTCTTAAACATGACATTTTTTGTAAATGATTTTTTATTATTTTTGTCGAGGCCTTTAATTGACCAGAGAAAGGGACTAAAATATGAAATTTTAATAGAGGAATAAAATATGAAATTTTTACTCAATGGAAGAAAGGTAATCTGATATACATACCAAAAGCACAGGAGGGTGAACGAATATCCAGCACGAATGCAAGACTGCTCAGTTTCTGATAATGGGATTTTCATTCTTAACAAAAAGCGTAAAAAGAAAAAAAAAAAAAAAACAAAAAAAAGAGCTTAATGTACACAACAAAACATCCTCAGGAGGCAGATTCGGCACCATCATGGAGAGCACAGCACACGGTAGCTTTATGATGCCCTTCGTACACTCTGATGTCTTCACCTGTTCACCAGATGACTTTGACCATAATCTTGCAGTGGTATCGGATGAAGCTGCAAGTTGAAGTTATGCAATGTGAGTTCACCATCAATAAAAAACAAAGAGAACAAAATCCACAAGCATAAGGAAATCCAGAACTAGAAATGCGTTCTGTTTGAAAGAAATCTCCCCCAAGTACAACTAGGATTTCCCAACCCCGCAGCAAACTAGAATTTAAACTAAAATTTAAGACTAATTTAGGCATTATATAAGCTTTCATGCACTCCACAAATTAAGTCAGTCTTGTAACTCTTGCCTGCAGCAAAATCAAACAATTTGGTCCTTTTATCAATGAAGACAGCATTAGGTTGAATTACATAATTTTTGTAAGCCACTATGACTGATTAGCAAGAGTACAAACACAGGATCTAAATAACTTAAACACTAGCATTGGTCCTTTTACCTGTGATGAGATAAGCACCGTCTACAGAGAACACGCAATCCCATACCCAGTGCTGATGTCCTGAGATCCAGATAAGTAAGCCAATAATTCAAGTATGCTTGATGAATAGGTCCATTTGAGTGCCAAAATAACATAAAGAAATTGCATCAACATCCTTACCTACTAAGGTTTTCTCCAGGGTAAAACCATCAACATTCCATATCTTGACGGTGTGATCAGAAGATGCAGTGGCCAGCTTAAGTTCAGATATGTACATATTATAAGTGTTTGCAAAATGATCACAAAACTATATTAGCTTCCTTGCAATCAACTACATTTGTAGGTACAGAATACATCTAAAAAGAGAACAAATCTTATTCTAAGGAATCAAATAATCCTACATTGATGTACAGGTAACTACAAATCAAACTTATAATTACAAACAGATCATATTAATCATAATCCCAACATCAACTCCGTAATTCATCTCAACACTCCCCCTCAAGTTGGAGTATAGATATCTATCATGCCCAACTTGTTGATTGCATCATGAAAAACCTTACTTGAGATAGCCTTCGTGAGCATATCAGCTAGTTGATGCTCAGATTTGATAAAAGACAATTGTATAATCTTCTGATCCAGCTTCTCCTTGATGAAATGGCGATCAACCTCAACATGTTTGGTTCGATCACGTTGAACAGGATTTTGAGAGATCTCAATAGCTGCCTTGTTATTACAATGAAGATTCATAGGCTTTCCATACTCAATCCCCAGATCTCCTAAAAGACGTTTGATCCACAATAATTCACAAATACCATGAGCCATGCCTCTAAATTCAGCTTCAGCACTTGATCTTGCTACAACTTTTTGCTTCTTGCTCTTCCAAGTAACAAGATTACCTTCAACTAAAGTGAAGTAACCAGAGGTAGACTTTCTGGTAGTTTAATCCCCCGCACAATCAGCATCCGTGTATCCTTCAATGTTAGTGACACCATTTTTTGAGAACAATAAACCTTTTCCCGGAGAACTTTTTAGATATCTCAGTATTCGATATACCGCTTCCATTTGTTCTTCACTCAGCATATGCATGAATTGACTAACAACACTCACCGCATAAGCTATATACGGTCGTGTATGTGATAAATAAATCTCCCAACCAACCGCTGGTAGCGACCTTTGTTTATCAAAACTTGATCAGGAAAAATTTCAAGCTTATGATTCATCTCCATAGGTGTCTCAGCTAGTTTGCTTGCAAGCATCCCAGTTTCAGTTAAAAGATCAAGCACATACTTCCGTTGAGAAAGAAAGATTCCACGATTTGACCTAGCAATTTCAATTTCTAGAAAGTATCTGAGTTGCCCCAGGTTTTTCATTTCGAACTTAGTAGCCAAGTACTCTTGTAACAACTTCATTTCATCTGGATCATCTCCGGTTAACACCATATCATCAACATAGACAATCAAGGCTGTCAACTTTCCTTCCTTCTGCTTTGAGAACAAAGTATGATCAGCATTACTTTGCCTATAACCAAACTCTTTCATTGCAGAAGAAAACCTCCCGAACCAGGCTCTAGGTGATTGTTTAAGCCCATACAATGATTTTTTCAACTTACATACCTTGTTCTTATTCATAGAACCACATTTTACACCTGGTGGAAGCTCCATGTACACTTCCTCTTCCAGATCTCCAATAAGAAATGCATTTTTAAAATCAAATTGCTGCAAAGGCCAATCTCGATTTGCTGCTAGTGATATGAGAATACGATGGTGTCGAGCTTAGCTACCGAAGCAAACGTCTCTTGGTAATCCACCCCATACTTTTGTGTGTACCCTTTTGCAACCAACCTTGCTTTGTACCTCTCAATGCTACCATCAGCTTTAAGCTTTACTGTGAACACCCATCTGCATCCGATTGTCCTCTTCCCAGGAGGTAATGAGACCAGCTCCCAAGTAGAATTTTTTTGTAAGGCATTCATCTCTTCATTCATTACAGCAATCCACTTCGAATCTGCCAAGGCCTCCTGTACACTACTAGGAATAGATACATTGGACAATTGATTTACAGTCAGTGCATACGGATTAGACAACCTATGAGTAGAGACAAAATTATTTATTGGGTATTTGACATTGGCTCTAGGATCAGGTTCATATTGTTTTTTCGGAACACCCTTATTGCTTCTTTGTGGATAACGTGGGACTGAAATTTCGGGTGAGACAAGAGATTCATTAAGTGTAACACTACTACCACATGTACTATCAGTCATGGAATCTACAGTTACCTGAGGTCCAGAACTCGGGCTTGATTCTTCGGTCGATGGTGTTAAAATAGGCAACTCCATTTCCTCGGTATGATTCAACACCTCAACACTGTCGTCAAACATCACTTGATCACTTGCGGTAATTCTTTCAGTCACTTCTTCAAGCTCTAAAAACTCATTTCCTTCACTGATATTCTCCCCCTAGAGGGAATGAGTTGGAGTACCATTAGAGTAATATGCTTCAGTTTCATGAAAAGAGACATCTAAAGTCACATGTAACTTTCTGTTGTGAGTATCATAACATCGGTATCCTTTCTGAAAATCTGAATAGCCAACAAAAACACAACGTTTGGCACAAGGGTCAAGTTTACTTCGTAAACTCTTAGGAATATAAACATAAGTGACACAACAAAAAATTCTTGGTTCAAGGTTCTTTTTGGGGAATGGAAAGAAGAGATTGTATCTTTTGCTAGGGAGTTTAAAAATCGATGACTCGGGATGGTGTTCGATTGATAAGATATACTGCAGATTTTACAGCTTCTCCCCAAAAGAATTAAGGCATATTCATAGCAAACAGAGAGGCACGCACAACTTCTAGTATTTGCCTATTTTTTCTCTCCGCTAATCCATTTTGTTGTGGAGTATTGGTGCAAGAGGTCTGATGTCGAATTCCATATTTACGAAAAAGTTCACCAGAAGATGAATCCATAAATTCCATGGCATTATCAGTTTGCCAAACACAAATTTGTTTCTGATACTGAGTATCCACCATACTGTAAAACTCCTTAAATGCAATAAAAGCATCACTTTTTCTATGAAGCAGGGATACCCAAGTCATCCTTGTACATTTATCAATAAATGTAACGAAGTAATGGGATTTAGAAACAGATGGAATTTTTGCAGGTCCCTATATATCAGAGTGAACAACAGCAAAAGGTTTTGAACTTTTATTCAAACTATGATAATAAGAGACTTGATGACTTTTGGCCAATTCACAAACATGGCAATGAAAATCTGAATCCTTTAAATTAGAAAACAGATGTGGTTTCAATTTTTGAAGATAACCAAAAGAAAGATGTCCGAGACGCCGGTGCCACAACCAAACAGTGTCTTGGACTTTCTCCTCACTACCGGTCTGTAGTGCATGACTAAAATTCTATCGCCCTTTTTGTGTTAGTTCCAAGAAATAAAGTTTGCCACGTTTAACACCATAACTAAGAACTCACCGAGTCAGAATGTCCTGAAAGACACAAAACAAAGGCAAAAATGTTATGCTACAAGCAAAGTTAATGTAATTTGGGCCACTGACAATAAGTTATGTTCAAGAGATGGAACAACCAAAACAAAATCTAATGTGAGGGTATCAGACATGATAATATGACCCTCTCCAGTAATAGGAGAGGTACCACCATTTGCTGTACATATCACAGACTTGGAAGGGGACTTAATGGATTGCAAATGGGTAGGATTTTTAGTCATATGATCCGATGAACCTGAATCAATGCACCAATCATCATCCTTAGAAGTTGCAGAAAAAACATCCACCTTACCAACACCTGTTGGGCCATGTTTGCTGTAGGGGTTGATTCTTGCACATCATTAGATTGGTCTTCACTGGTAGATGTCACCATGGCTTTTCCAACAATCTTCTTTCTTGGTTTTTTAGAAAAATCACACCACTCGGGATATCCAATGATTTCATAACATCTTTGTTGTGAGTGACCTGATTCACCACAATGTTCACAAACAAAATTATTACCTTTTCCAGTTGAAAAATTCTTACGATTCTTCATGGGGACAGATGATCTTTGTCCTAGTTGAAATTGTTTGGCTAACATAGCTGAGTGTTCACAGACTGGACGTGATCCCCCCATGGTTTGTCTTTGTTGATGCTCTTTCTGCACGTATGCATATGTGCTCTCTAGATCAAGTTTGGGATCTTTTCTTAAGATCTTTCCACGTACCTGATCAAATTCAGAATCAAGTCCACTTAGAAAAATATGAACTCGAAGTCTACTTATGGCTGAGTTCATCTGGACAACTCCTTCGACTGTGTCTTCTTGAGACATAGTCCTGTGATCAATCTCCTGGAAAATAGCAACAAGTTCATTATAGTATGTTTATAAGGGTCTACCATCCTACCTGGTAGAAAATGATTTCTGATTCAATTCGAAAAGACATGTTTCATCTGATCCATCATAGAAGGTTTTGGACACAGCCTCCCAAATATCTTTGGCTGTGGGAAGGCGAATAAATCGCTTCATCAGATCTGAACTCATGGATTCAATAAGCCAACTCTTCACTTTCTGATTTTCAGACACCCACGTTGCATAAGTGGGATCTTGAAGTCCAGGTTTCTTTGTTTCTCCAGTGAGATAACCACCCTTGTTACGAGCTCCGACACGCATTTCTATTAGTTGTGACCATAATGAAAAATTGGTATCATCCAATATAATTCCAGTAGGGAATACAGAGTTGTCTTGGTGAATAACAATTAGTGTTGTGTTGCTGGGTGAAGCTTCAACAACAGAATTGGAATTTGTCATTCTAAAATTCGACACGAGGTTTAAGATTCAAAGGAAAGGACTTTAGTTCGAAAAAAAGAAAAAAAAGCTTTCGTGTTTTAAGAAAAGAGGAGGCTTTTGTGATTCAGAGATAAAGTCGGCTCTGATACCATGTTTGCAAAATGATCACAAAACTATATTAACTTCCTTGCAATCAACTACATTTGTAGGTATAGAATAAATCTAAAAAAAGAACAAATCCTATTCTAAGGAATCAAATAATCCTACATTGATGTACAGATAACTACAAATCAAACTTATAATTACAAACAGATCATATCAATCATAATCCCGACATCAACTCCGTAATTCATGTCAACAATAAGCAAAGATTTTAAGCATCTTCCTGAATAGCTGTAAGCATTCATATTCTGAAACTTTTACCGGTTAGGTTCACAAAACTCAGGGGAAAGGAGGCACTTCAGGATGTAGCCATCATGAGCCTGTAGCTTATGA